TTAACGCCAGTTGCCAATTAACAGAGTTTTTAGCTGCTTCTAAAATATTTTATATCAAATATGCGTAGACATATGAGACAGACAGACAGACAGACACACATAGAGAAGGCACTATTATGCCCGTGCCCCCCCCCCCCTCCCCCTTCGGCTCCTTGCTACTCTCCGAAAAGACCAACAGCCAGAAACATTAATACATATGTATGCATCATACTGGCAGAGTTTGCAAAAAATTGTTTTTCAAAGTGTATTTTTGTTGTTTTTGCAAAGACCAAACCAATAAATTTTTTTTTTTGCAAAATTTGCAAAAAAAAATTAGTATTAGAAATCGCATTAAAAATCAACTTTTTTTTTTCTTGCGAAGCAGACTTAACGTGAAAATGATTGCTTAATGTTATTTAGTTGCTACAAGTTTTCAACAGATAATTTTTGCAAAATCCGCAACAATAATTTAAAAAACTGCAAACTCTTCCAACCTTCTCTTCTCCAACCCTCATTTTCTGCCCTACATCCAAAACCTGCATCTCCTGCAACTCCCTATCACCCATCAAACAACAAATATGCATCAGTGATAACGATAAACCGGTTTCACCGAAATGGCAAATGAAAAAAGAAACTTGGCGATAAATTACAGATTGACAAACAATTCTCCACAAATTTACAAATTATTTCGCACTGTTCTTTCACATGTAAATTGTATTTGTCGCCGACAGATAACGAATATCGACGAAACCCAGAAAACTTCTATTGGCCAACTTAGTAATCAAAATTAACCGTGTTTCTGTTGCTTTCCTTTCACTCGGCATAACTGTTCCTGCTTACCAGAGCATCATGCATTTCAGACATCAATAAAGCGAAGAGGAAAACCAAACTTACTCCACTGTATTAGATTAATAAGACTGACATAATACTGCCAAAAACTGCAATTTTTCTACCAACCAATTTCTTCCGATCGGCACCATCAGCGATAAGCACAGCAACAACAATCACAAAAATAACCATAACCAGTAGTACTCATTTAATCGTCACTTAAAATTGCCACGCATTATAGAATTTGACCTTCTTTTCAACAAAACGCATACCTAACTTTACAACTTTTGAACTAAATGTCCTCCACTACGTCCGCAAAATTTGTTGTTGCTTACGATAGACCAGTTGATCAGTGACTGTTGCATGACCAAAGAACGAACCACCGGCCGGACAAACACAACAATTTTTCTAGGCAGGGATTCCCCTAACACCCAGTCACTACTGGTCTTTATTTGACGTCTGCTCATTTCCACTGCATTCAAATCCCTTCATGCCTACCCCACTTCTGGATAGAGCAATTCCAACAGCCTTAGACCACCTGCGAACAACCCCCTCCCCCTCCTCCTCCTGCCTAGTCGACCCATCTCTCTCCCTCGCCGCAAGTAAAGGACAACAATTGCCGCTGTGCCAGCAACATCAGCACTGCCCCCCATCGCAAAACTATAGCGGCTCTCTAAGTGACCAATTGAAAATCGGCTGGCAATAACCACACCAAGCATCATCGGTCAACAGAGCTGGGCAAACACTATGCGCTGAGTCAGCCGCTGTAATGCCAGGCCAGTTTAGTCTATCAAACTTCAGCCCACTCAATGGCACCGACCTCTTTAACTTGGCATTTGGTTGTTAACAAACAGAAACAGAATTCAAAACCGCTTTTTCAGTCAAAAATATTAACATTTAAAACGTAAGCAAAGTTCTCCACAATAAAACAAGTGACAACACAAAAAAAATCTACAATAAAAGAAAAAACAACGAAGATCTTTGTGCGAGAGGATGCACTTTGCGATAAAAAACCGATCAAAGGAAAAAACAAAGTGATACACATAAACAATAACCAACAGTGTCAAACTTTTTTTTTCTTCTGCTTCTCAAGAAGCTATCAGTGATGTGTCGGCCAATATATACAAATGTAAAAGTCAGGATAATGAGTCAGAAACCGAAAAAAAAAGGAAAGCAAAGAAAAACAATAATAATAATAATAACTGTAATAATTATAATAATATATTAAGTTACCAAAAAAGGCATTGAAAAGCCTTTCAAAATACCTGTTTAGAACCACCAATCTAAGAAAAAAAGGAAGTAAAGAACACATTAAATTACCAACTAAAACATTAAAAAATGAAAACATCTTTCAGCACAAAGTTAAAACCGAAAAAAGACTGAGCGATAGACATATACACAGACTAGGACTAGCATTTCAGTACTACTAGTCCACCTAGTTCAATGAATTTAGACTGCTAGTCATCGTCTCAGCTGCTGCAACTATTGAATATGACCTCAACCATTTGCTGCGTAAAACAGATATCGCAAGGAGCAATATTATTAAGACAACAATGTCTAATTCAAGTCTGTAAAAAACTTCCACTTATACTACAAATCGAAAAATAACCAGACAAACTCTTTAAAAGCCAACAAAACGGCTGGATGATAAAACAATCCTAACAAGTACTTTTCCTTTCAATTAACAAAACTAAATGTCGTCTGCTCAACAAATTAGAAAGCCGACTGAGGAAGAGAAACAAAAACACAAAGATAAAACACTGCATGATATGAAAAGCAAATTACAATGAATACATTGAAAAATTGCGAATATAACATTTTGGTGCATTTGAAAAACCAAATCACGTAAAGAAATCAAAAACAGCTATTATATTAGCCACCAGCTTATTCCTTCCTGAATTCTTCGAGCAATTAAAACCAATGAAAACTAAAACCATTCCCAAATACACGACGTCCACCGTAACAGGTCTATTTAAAAAATAAAACAAACGAAGACAACGGCAAATTAAAACCCCTGATACTCATAAGATTCCTCAATTCGTTGCAGTTATCACAATGAACAAATAATTGATAGCTTGCTGTTGGATAGTATCCAGAAGATCTGATGCATTTAACCTGAGAAATTCTGATGCAAAGCTGCATGGAGGAAACACGTGTACAATTGAATCTGGGACCGGATGTCGCTGAAAAAAAAAAAAAA